CGTTATCAATGATCCGCATGACACAAATTGATGATTCAAACTTAACTTCATTTACAGGTAAATACGCATTGATTAACTTGCAAAGAGGTCAAGTCAGATCTGTTAAATAATATTTGAAGTGATGTAATCAATCTTTACAGAAAATTTACTTAGTGTTGAATCAACGTTATTGTAAACTTAAAATTTCAAAATTATTGGTTTGGCAGTTTCGTAGATTGTTTGCCTAATAGATTTTCAACAACTAACCACAGGTTGCCAAATGTTAATTCAGTATTTTCCTATTCTATGACCTGTGAAACATCAAATGCCACTGTTTTTTTTTTTAGGAAAAAAATTCGATGTATAATTTACTATTATTACGACTATATTAAGTATTACAGCAAGGATTGTAATAGGGTCCATCCGACCAATGGTTAATTTCAGATTTTCTAGACGTTTTAAGCCCCTAGAATGTAAAATAATTGGTGTCAGTTTCCGTCTATCTGTGTAAATTTTTATTAGTCAGATAATCTCCAAGCTACCGGACCGATTGTTATCAAATTTTATACATATGTGTGTTAGGAATATCGTGTAGATGATAAAACAATACTCGAAATTTGGCAAATCATTCCAAACGACAATTCGATCACATCCCCTCAAATTTTTTTTAGTAAATGCCATTTAAATTTTATAAAATAAAATACTCATATACTTGTGGTTTATGACTCCGTCTTAATTTTTAACCTTTTTTTCACAAAAAAATCCAAATTTCATCATCACATTTTATACCAATACAGGGCGATCAATAAATGACAGATAAGATCGATGGTATGTTGATTAACTTCGTAAATCTGATATGTTTTAATGTGAATTAACTGACAATCAAAAATACGGATAAAATTCGAAAAAATGGCATCTATCAACAGTAAAAAATGACGTGTATCGTATTACAGCAAATTATTAGTAATTTATTAAGAACTAATTATTTAACTATTAGACACGCAGTTCACTTAGTGCACGGATTTTTTTAACCAAAGGTGGCTGGTTTCATTGAATCATGGCTCACAATTTTTATTAGTAATCAAATCAAGACCGATTCACTCCAATTTTTTTTAAATTTGAGAATACAATAAGGTTGCGCTCGTCTATATTTAATAATAATAAAATAACAATTTTCGTAAAGCTATTCACCCAAAATAATACTCACAAAGTTTTGCTTTATTACAGCTTAATTAATAAGTTTAGTTGCTTCCTGTATTTTGAGGAGACAAGGTCCGCGGAGGTGTTCAACTTGTGTGGGTTGTCACAAAAAATATAAATAAAATTCGCAAAATATTTCTTTATTTTTTAAACAAATTCTTAGCAAAAAAAATCAATGAGGATAAGATTTGTACTAAGACATACAGACCTCATTCGAACACAAGCCATTTGTTTCGCAAGTGAATGAAACAAGTAGCGAATATTGCAAACACTTTTTTGTAAAATAATTGTGATTAAAACTCAAAGCGGATTCATAAATCACATGTGTAGTATACTATTAAAAAAAAAGTTCAATGTACAAAACTACAACTAAAATGTACTAAAAAAAAGCTCAGCTGAATATCTACTTAAAATTGAACAAAAACGTAGACTTTTAAAATTCTAAGACCCACAACAAAGTAACGTAATTAGATATTGTCATCTATAATCTTCAACCATGAAATAAAAATTTTACACCCGACTGAAGCTAAAAGTATTCAGTTTTATACCATTAGCCATTCAAAATCCGATAAAACATCTAACATTTAATTTTGACTTTTTAACATTTAATGAATCGCTAATTTTCGATTGTTTCGAAGTTTCATGGCATCTAGAATAGTAAAAAGTGGGTTTCCCGTCTTCGTCTGTCTGTCATTTGTACAAGTAATCCCCAAGAGAAACTACTGGACTGATTGCTGTGAAATTTTAAATATTTATAATTTTAAAATATCGGGTGAAACTTAACCAGTAACTAGTACTTGCTAAGATAAAACTAAACAATATTATGAGTAGTTGCTGGAATGAAGAGGCGGCGCGGATGGGCGAGGCTATTGCTTGCGTATAAAAGGCTCTGAAGGAAAAAGTTAAACTTAGCCCCGCCCACCCACCCGTTCTCTTTTTTTTTCTTCTAAAATTAGAAATAAACCTTAAAGTAAATAGTATAACAAAAAAATACGGTTAGCCTTTTTTCTCCTTTTTTAACAGCCCCACTCTCATTCTACAGAAGAACATATAATTAACCCCGCGCACCCACCCCGCCTCCATTTCAGTGATTCATTTTATCTGGTCTGCTAGAAAGTGGATCTCATACCGAACATAAGTAAAATTATTCCTCAGAATAAGAAGAGCGTGGATAGGTGGGCGGGGTTAGTACTTGCTAAGATAAGGCTGATTTTGGCAAATGATGTACCTTGTAAGAAAATAGGGGGCGGGTGGGCGGAGCTAGTACTTGCTAAGATAATACTGAAAAATATTAAGAGTAGTCCCTAGAATGAATAGGTGGCGCAATGGACGGGGCTATTGCTTGCTTATAAAAGACTCCGGAAAAAAGTAAACTCTAAATCAAAATGTTTACGACTCTTTCAAAAACGAAACAGCTTAAACTCGTCAATCAAAGATTGCTTAAGTCTAACACAGAAATATATTTAGAAACGTTTCCTATTATTTTGTTGTAATTTTACCACATGATTGAGTGTTTTTTATTCTAGTTTGTTTGAACTAATTCCAGCTGGAATTATTAACCATCAATAAAATATGGACGCCTGAAGCAGACACTTCTCAAACCAGTGATGCCGGCCGTAGTATGTTAATCAAAGTCAACTCTAAATCAAAATATTTTCAACTCGTTCAACACGAAGCACCATTAAACTCACTAATCAAAATCTGCTTAAGTGGACGGCAGAAGTATATTTAGAAACATTGTTCCAAATTACTTGCTTGCCATTTTACCATATAATTGTTTTTTTTTTTATTATTCTGAGTTTGGTCAAACTAGCTCCCGCTGAAATTAACATAGGTACCATTAACCATGAGTAAAATACAGACACCTGAAGAAAACATTTTTGAAATCAGTACTGGAGACTGTAGTATGTTAATTGCAGTCAACTCTAAATCAAAATGTTTTCGACTCTTTCAAAAACGAAACACTATTAATTATACTCACTAATCAAAATCTGATTATGTGGATTGCAGAAGTATATTTAGAAACATTGTTTCATGTTATTTACCACATAAATGTTTTTTTTTTTAATTTGCTTGGACTAGTTCGAGCTGGAATTAACAAAACATTTTTGAAATTAGTCAACTCTAAACCAAAAATTTTATGACGTCATCTGAAAATTACTCTAAAGAAATCCTATCTAAAATATGCAGAGTAATGTGCCCCTATACTTGTGGTTTATGAACCCAGTCTTATTTTTAACCTTGCGCTTGCAAATTTTTAGAAAAAAATTTGAATTTTACGACGAAATTTTACAATTTATCTTAAAAACTATAAATTCGAAATCGATTACTCTGGAATTCTGCACACATTTTAACGTTGTAGTGAACATGATGAATCGCTAATCAAAATTTACCTATTCGTCTCTTCCAAAAACCTAATAACGTCATCTCAAAATTTTACAAAACAGATCTCATTTGAATTCCAGAGCGTAAACGTTCCCTAGGGTACGAAAAAGTAATCTCACATTTCCGTCTGTCTGTCTGTATCGTTTTTTATTAGACAGATAATTTCCGTAACTACTGCACCGATTGTTGTGAAATTTTACGTATATGTGTAGATGGTTTGTAGATATTTGTTGTTTGTCTTGTACTGGTGGTTTATGGCCCCGCTTTGAGTTTTAACCTTCGGCATTTAAATTTTCGCAAAAAAAAAACAAAATACATAGTAACCTTTTTTTTCTTCTCATATTGTACCTGATATTTTATATAATTTATATATAAAATAAATTTATAATTAAAAAAAAGCCGGATTTGCGGGCTATATTTTAGGGGCGAGGGAAGTTGTGTAAGTAATCTTAGAAAAACGTTTTAGATTTGTTTATAGAGAATGTCTCAAAAAAATTAATGAACGAAGCAATTTATTTTAATGATTACTTGATGTTCTTGAAATTCTGGCAACGTTCTACGCATAGCATGGTTCATTACTCGTTGTTTAATAAATCACTCCTATTTTTATTTTTATTTATAAGGGGATTACCATAAAAAAAAAACAGTTCCCCAGAATCAAATCAATTCATTTAAGAAATGGACTTATTTAATTGATTGTGCTTCAGGATGGAGGGAAGTTTCATATAAATAAGTTTAGCCCAATTTTTCCACTGCCGCCACAATGTACCCTGAAAATTCTTTGATTTTGTTTCTAACGATTTTCTTCTAGCTTGTCTATTGACACACGAAGCAACAAATCAGCGAATGTTTAAATTGTATAGATATGTCTGTTAATCTTGAAGACGGAAGGCAGTTAGTTCAGGGTAGAAATGGCTGTCCAGGAAGGTGCGTTTTTACGATCAGCAACAATCCTGAATATTTTTATACACCTTAATTAATCCAACAAAATCAAATTTTCTACTTTGACTTCGGAAAACTAGTTTCCGTATAAAATCGTGTCAGCTTACATTAAAAGAGTCTAACGACTTTATATCAGCATAGAAATGAATATGAACTACCTTTTTGGTGATTAGAAAGTGTCGTTTCTGCCTTTATTCCTTTTTAAATATAGAGTCTATTATTAGTGTTATTCTAAACCGTTACTTTTTGAGTACCTTCTTATTATTTCCGTCCTGTGAATAAAAGCGACAGGTGTTTGTTTGTACAACCTTAGATGTCTTTACGCCTACATATTAACGTAGCGGGTCTATTGTACACCTGGTTATTTGTCTAGTCATCAAAACATTTTCAATTACCAAATAATGAACAACACAGGTGTAAGCAGTTTACTGGCACTCTTACTGTGATAAGAGTCAAAACTTCGTAAAATCGCTGTTTTTTTTTTAGCTACTCACCGCTTCCGTCCTTCTTCGTAGTCTTCTGTCCTCCGGTCGTCGGTGGTTTGTTTGTCCTCATACTGAATCTACCACTATCTGTCCTTGAAAACACTTGAGGTTTATTTGAAGCACTTTTATTGGTCGTGCTTGGAACTTTTGGCACATGTTTATTTGGCTCCACCTTGTTAACAACTGGAGGTTTCTTGGTAACATTAAGCAAATACCTGCTCTGAACTTCGTTCGTTTTAAGTGGTTTCCTGTCCACCGAAATCGCCCTCTCCGTCCTCACGTGTTCCGGCTGGAACTTCCGTCGCATTTCTGGAGTATTGGGGCATCTCGGCGGCACGATCGGTTCGTCTAACCTCGCTCTTCGTAAACTAAAAGCTCTATTGTATCTCGTGTTCGTCAAATTCGACAAGTCTTTCTTCTTCGTTAAGTTCTTCTCGAAATCTTCCTCCGAACTAGACTCGGTGTCGCCGAACTGGTTCCTGTCGATCTTCTGATGGTCCGAGCTGATACTCGACCGCCTCAGCTGGATATAATTCGGTTTAATATTGGCCGTAGAAGCCGACCTTTGTATCGACGCGCTCCTAGTGAAACTAGGCGAATTCCGCAAGTTCGATTCCTGCTGAACCAAGTTCGTGTTCTTCGTCGGAATTTGGTTCTTCGTAGAGAAACTGCTAGACCGTCGGATCGGGCTGTTATTTGGCGAATTTTGAATTTTATGAATCACCTTGGTTTGATTGTATTGATTAAACATGTAAGTTTGATCAATACCTTGCAAGTTTTTACTCTGAAAATGTTCCAGTTTGTTGGAAATCTTCATGTTTTTGTCGTCGAGTGAGTTGTGCCTTATATGCGACGCCCTTTGCTTAAGCAAGTGAGGTGAATTGTTTAGTTGTAAACCGTACTTGCCGTCGTAATCGCTGTCTGGGTCACTATCTAACGACAATCTTTGTTGTAACGAATTTATACAGTTTTGGGTTGGTTTTAAGTAAGACTCGGTTTCTAAACTGCTATCTGATAAATCTACGTTGAGGGAGTTAATACTATTCCGGCTTCTCGGCCTCGAGATGGTATGTATAGGAGATGGGATTTTCGTCGGCGATACTTTTCCAGATATTCCTCCAACAGTTGGAGGTAAATTTGATACTTTTCCCAAAACTATACTTCCGCTGACGACTTTGTCTTCAGCAACACCATTGGTATCATTTTTAGTTGAAATACTCTGTACGTTCACTATGTTAGCTGTTAATTTTTTCAAATTGCTTTTACTTGCGGGGGCCACCATCCGAACTGTACTCTCGCTCACCTCCACCTTGTCCCCTACATAAGCCTCAACTTGGACTTCAGATTTCGTCAAACTAAGTTTCCTCACATTAGGTTTTTCCTTCTCACTCTTTGTTCTAAAGGCACCGCTTGAAGTTACAGATATCACACTCCCTTGATCCACCATCTGCTCCAGTCCATTACCATTTTTGGCCTTCGGACTAGGAAACATAATTTTCGTAAAAGTTTTATTCGCCAGATCATCACTATCATTATTCATTTGTTTATCTTCACTTTGAGTGATGGATAAATTCTGGGTTGGCGAAAGAATCGGCGACAACATTTTCGCGTTTCCTTTATGACTAAAGGTTTTGTAATTTGGTGTTTGTTGTACTAATTTATTACTACTTTTTGGAGACTTTGGCGACTGCAAACCCTCCCCAATGTTATTAACGTTTGTCTCTGGCACCGGTTTAGTGACGTCGGTGTCATTTTTCAACTTAAACGTGTTCAAGCTTTTAATATAGTCTTCTGTCTTCTTTAAAACCGAAATCTGTTCTATTTTAAATTCAGTATCTATACTCATCCTCGCTTTCTGCTCTTCTGAATAATTTTCAGCATCTAAAGTGTAAGTACCTGCATCACTAACGGTGTCTGACTTGTCAAAATCAAACTCTGTGCCCTCAACAAAGTTGTCTTCGGCTTCGATGGGCTTCGTTTCGCATTCAGGGCTCGAAAATTGTCGTAAGAAATTAGGTTTGGTCACTTCTTTCACTTGTGGCTTATCCTTGGGGCTGAAAGGGCTGATGGTGTCAAGCTCCGGGCTAGAAACATCCTTCAACTCGATCTCAGGGGTGGTGATGTTGAAAAAGCCGCTATTCGGAAACGACTGACTCATCTTATCAACTGTTACACATTTCAGAGGTAAAGACAGTTCACTACGTTTAGCACTACGGGCGTTCTTGATTCGATCACTTTTCTCATCCGATGAGAAATACCCCTCGGATTGGAAACTCGACTTTCGCGGTAGGTTTCCGGTGTTCGGGTGCTTTTTCGAGGGGAGGCTGAGCGGGGGCTCCTCGATTTTCGACAAGGACTGGCCTCTGCGGTGTTTCTTTTGGAACTTCTCAACCAAAGTTTTATGTCGTTGGGTGTCCACGCTCTTGCCGTCGCCGAAGTCCACAGTAAAGGCGAGGGGTTTCGGTGATTCGGGTATTTTGAATTCGTCGTTATTGGGCGATTCTTGCTCGTTGTTCTTGTCCATGATTCAAGCCGGAAATATTTCGCCAATTTCAACCTAAAAATACAAATAAAGGTCTTGCCAAATTCGGCTCGGTGGCATTTTGCGTGGAATTTTTGCGGTTAAGGGTGGCTTACCGTGGAAAAGAAACGAATTTAAGTTAAAAAATTGCACATTACTTCCACTGTTTTTTCGTATTTGTTGTAAAAAAACTATTCACTTGACATTTCTCTACATTTTTCACAGCTGTAGGCGCGGACGAACTGTCTGACGTTTGACGTTACTCTTTCTTTGACGTTCTCACTCTCTTACTACGTTTACACGAGCGCTTCGGAACGTAGGTGTGTGTGGCGATTGGAGAGATTTCTTTTCAAAATGCTAATTAAGTGACATCATTTTATGCAAATGATGTTGTGTTATTTAATACACTATAAAAAGTGGATGTTTCATGGTAGTTGACCTTGAAGTTTTAAGTAAATTTATAGCAATGTAAAGATGATAAATTTACTTTTTTAATGTCAGACATAAGTAAACGAAGAAAGCAGGGGCGGCGTTAGCCCACTGGCGATGGGTGAGTAATCGTGATGACTTCACATTTTATGTTATTCTCGTGTAAAACTGTTTGCATGCACAGTCCTCACAATGATGCGATTTTTGTGTATAATGCCTGTTCGAACATCGTAAATAATAATAGCAATGTTTTCGTATCGACCAGGTAATATCTTTCACAACAGATTTATTTAATGATTATTGCAAATGAATTGTGAATATTATTAAAATATGTGCATTCATTGTAATGTTACTGACTTACCAGAATTTTTGCGAATGGACTTCTCCCGACGTAATTGGTGCAGTAAATCAGGCCATACATTTATTTTTTGTATATACAGTATATCCCCGGATTGAATTCACAAGAAGAAAAAAAACTTTATTTTCTATTTTACAAAAAAATGACAAAGGAATAATATTTTTTGCTTAACTCAAAATAAATAAATGTACAATTAGAACTTTAATATTATCAGGCTGTTCTTAAAATCGAAAAAACCCAAAAGTAGCGAAGGACTTTTTTATTTTTAATTTTACAAAAAAATGTCAATGGAATAAAAATTGTTCCTTAATTCAAACCAATTTTTACTATTCGATTAACCCACCACCCCTTTCAGCACGTAGTTCAATTCTAACCGGTAATTCTTTAATAAATGATTTCTGTTTTAATAGTTAAAGAAAAGCGAACCATTTTCAGTGCTGTCAGATTTTGACAAAAATGTCAGGGGTGCACAGAATTGAACTCGGCGACGCAGGCAATTGTTTTGCACCGACAGCACTATTAAATTTAAAAAAACAAATTAATTAATTTTTGCGTTTTATTAACGTAATTCTTTTAAACAAAAACAGTAATTTAATTAATTTTTCGCGCACAGTCGTTATTTTAGTTGCTTAAAGTTATAATGCAATTTTGAATAATTTTTAACAACAGGAAGCTGTGTTAAAATTCGTGTTTTGTACGATAAAAGTGTTACGTGGGACACCCGGTATATTTAAACGGACAAAAACTTACATTCTTAATTTTATGTTTTATTTTGCTCTTAAAAATTTTACTATAATTTCTTAAATACTATAAATTGTTGTTTCGAATTTTTTAATGTAAAAGAGAAGCTAAAAAAATGTCATACTGTATCGATTAAAAATAGGGTTGGAAAAAATCGAATTTAAAACAAAAAATCAAAAATCGATGATTTTTTTTAATCACGATTTTTTTTTTGATTCTTTTTGTTTTTTTATATTTTTGATTTTTTTATTTTTCTTTGATTTTTTTTAGTTTTTCGGTTACCCACAATAATCTAAACTTTAAAAGTAGTAATAAAAAAATAACTTTTAGCTTTTAATTAAGACCCACCACTGACCCGGAAATGACCGGCATTCAGGCAAGACTTCTATCATTACTTTTATTCAGTTTTTAAAGGCTCTATATTTTATTTAGTTGTTGTAATTTTCATTTTCTGCGTATTTTCAAACATTCACAAATCACAAAAAATTATGTTTTCGGACGAAATTATACATAGCTAATATAACTCTGCAGTGGTGGATGTCACAAAGAGATATACCAGATGTAGCAAATAATTTACATATACTAAAGCAATTGCTTTGTGCAGTAGTTTCATCTGCAGCTGTAGAGCGCACGTTTTCATCTTTTGGATTAGTACACCTAAAATTAAGACACAAATTAGGAACAGAAAAAGCCGAGTATTATAATGAGAATGAACAAAAATAAAAAATATTTGATTTAAATGAATGATTTAAAAAAAATCAAAGGATTTAACCCAATCCAACCCTGATTAAAAAGAAGTTAAAAATAAACATTGCTGTCATTTCAATTTAGTATAGTTACTACCAAATGAAAAAAAAAATGTTTTCAGTCGATAGTTACTTGAAATTTTCGAAGACCACATGTTTCACTTTTAACTTTTCGAGCGTAAGGTGAGTGGGGCTAGTACCTGATCAGATAAAACTGATTTCGGCCAATGACATATCCTCTAAGAAAAACCGCTCTTTATTTTCTTAGAGGATATGTCATTTGCCAAAATCACTCGTGCTTTAGAAAGTGCTAGTCCCACCCACCTGCCCTCTATTTTTTTAAGGAGTATATCATCTGCCAAAATCAGTCTTTTCTTATCAAGCACTAGCCCCGCCCACCCACCCTCTCTTTTCTTAGAGGATATGTCATTTGCCAAAATCGATCTTAAACTCAAACTGAAGAAAAGAGAGGGTGGGTGGGTGGGGCTAGTACCTTTCAAGGTAAAACTGATTTTGGCAAATGACATACATTCTAAGAAAAGAGAGGGTGGGTGGGCGGGGCTAGGACCTGATAGGATAAAAGTGATTTTGGCAGATGACATACCTTCTAAAAAAATAGAGGGTGGGTGGGTGGGGCTAGTCCTTAGTAAGATAACACTGATTTTGGCAGATGATATACTCTTTAAGAAAAGAGAGGGTGGGTGGGTGGGGCTAGTACCTACTAAGGTAAAACTGATTTTGGCAAATGACATACCTTCTAAGACAAGACAGGGTGGGTGGGTGGGCCTAGTACCTGCTAAGATAAAACTGATTTTGGCAGATGACATACCTTCTAAGAAAAGAGAGGGCGGGTGGGTGGGGCTAGTACTTTCTAAAGTACGACTGATTTTGGCAGATGACATATTCTAAGAAAATAAAGAGCGGCTTTTCTTAGAGGATATGTTATTTGCCAAAATCAGTTCTATCTTAGAAGGGGGTAGCCCCACCCACCCACCCTCTCTTTTCTTAGAAGGTATGTCATCTGCCAAAATCAGTTTTATCTTAGCAGGTACTAGCCCCACCCACCGACCCAAAAGTACGAAAAAATAGGTTTCCGTCTGTCTGTCGCCTGTCTATCTGTTTGTCTGTGTCGATTTTTGACAAATATAATCCTATCATCCCCACTAAGAATGTGGTGACGTTATCTCAACATTTTATATAGTAAATGTAATTTATTTTTTATAAAATAACCTACTCTTACACTTGTGGTTTGTGAATCCGCCTTGAGTTTTTACCCTAGACGTTCAGATTTTCCCGAAAAAATTCAAATTATACAATAATATACATAATGGCCATACATTTTTTTTTTCTTACACTGTGACTGGTATTGCTGTCTACACATTTTTAACTTATATGGATTATTATCATAAAATAAATACAATTGCGCAAAATCAAATTTTATAATTTTTCGAAGAAGTTGGATTTGTTGGACTGTATTTTAGAAGCAAGGGACGTTCTGCCTAAATACCCTTGGAGCATTTTTTTCAGGATAAGCTTGAAATTACAAAAAAAAACCTTCGAAAAATTTTAGTGGGTTCTATACATATATTAATGCAGCTTATTTGTGACCAAAAATTTTCTAGTTTTTGATAAAAGTCATCTTACACCTCTGTTGGTTTAAAACCTTGTAATTTTTTCAAGAATTTTTACTACCAAATGAGGTACTCATCATTATTAGTTTCCCCAATCGACCACGAAATTTTCTTTTTTGAAAAAAAAAATTAGTTAAATATAGAGCTTAAGCTAAGAACAGCTGACAGTTTTTTTCTATTTTACATTTAAAAAAAAAGACAAGGGAAGTTCTATCTTTATACAGGTTTCCGTGTCTGTCTTCTTTGTATTTTACATAAATCTAGATAATTTGCGTTTAAAAAAAATCCAACATTCTTATTGATTTACACTATTACGTAACCTAAAATATGTTGCTACTTATGTATAGAATTATCAAATATTTTTATTTATCTTCTTAACACAAAGCTAATAATATTGTTACGAAATAAACCCATCCGCCGGCCCAGTACGACGCCTATGGGTTTTGTAGTATGTACGGTGATGAAGGTTGGTGATTTATCGGCATCGGTGATGGTGGCGTTCGAATAGAAAAATAGCCTGGGTGCGGTGCCGTAGGTCTCGATAGCGGACTCCAGAACAACCTCAAAGGCGGCGTTCGCGAATTTTCTAGAAGAACCCATCGCGGTTCAAATGGGAGTAGTTGAGTCAAGTCAATGAGAGAATTCAAGTGTAGTCAAATCCTTTGCAGTCGAACTGGAATTATTCTCGGGTTAGTGTAAAATCCCGGAACAATCGAATAACTTTGTTGTTTTAATTTTTTTTTATTTGGTATGGATGTATAAAGCATCCGAGGTTTTTTGTTGGGACACCCAGAATTTTTTTTACATTTTCTGATGCATAATAAAATACCACTCTCAGAAATTATCCAACACCCAACAAGTTTATTTCTACTGATAAAAATGCACATGTTTAAAAAACACTCAAAGTATAAAGTCACGACATTTTTGAAAATAAACTATGAGTGAAACTACAATAAATGTTCAAGTATTCTCCGTTTACAATTTGGCAGCGACGTAGCCGATCAACAAAATATCTCAATTAATTATTATTTATTTTTGTGTGAATTTTTCGATTTTTTTTCTAATCACTAGAAATAAACGCATCGATAATTTCTGACAGTAGTGTAGAAAATGTAAAAAAATCTGGGTGTCCACTACAAAAAATTAAGAAGACTTTTCTCTCAAACTGAAAGCGATAAAAAAAGGGGAAAAGGTTGTAAGTTTTACGATCTTACAGGAAAAGGGTCAATTGGTAACATAGAATTTCCCCAATACATCTAGTAATTTTTGTACAGTGGCAGTGGCAAAACCACTGACAAGACTGTTGATGACGCAAGCGCCAACAAAAGTCAAAATTTAAACATGCCTGCCAAAAAAAAAAATGGTTCTCGCATCAGGACCTGGCTTAATGAAAGTCTTCCAATCAGAGGTTTTAAAGTAAGAAAGCTAGAACGTACCACCTTTACAGATGTTACAAAACAAGTACCTAACTTCATCTAAATTTGTTGTCGTTTTTCACTAAATATTCTCAGTGTATGTAGTTGCTGCTTTCATTACTGGGAAAAATTGCGACTTTTAATAAAAAAAATGTAATTTAAACGACTCATGTTTCTGAGATCTTTTCTCTAATTGTAAGTATTCTCTTCAATGCATTACTAAATCCCTGTATGATGATTGATTATCTTCAAAATGACATTTGAAAATTAACATAAAGTAAACGAGTTCCGTAAATTTACCTTCCAAAGCGAAAGCGTAGATGTTTCACTGGTTCGTAGGTAGGTGGTAGCTTTTATGACGTGCCTGTAGTCTATTATTGGAAATTTATTATACAGAAAAATTTCAAAAATTCCAAACTCTTTACTTTGAAATTTTACGATTATTGTTATACGTTATACGTTAATCGAAATTTATTTATTCATTCTCTTTGAAAAATTGATGACGTCATCGTAGAATACTATCAAGAGTATCAAGTAGATGCCACTTGATAGGTACAGCTGTAGATGTTTCTTTACATGCGGTGTAATAACATACTGCTATTTTTAAATTTACCGAGTCTGTCTCATAGATTTTTTAAATTAATTACTAAAATCAAGTGGAACAACAAAATTATTTTATATTATATACAGAATAACATCAAAACCTTATTTCTTCTTTTAATGTAGCACTTGTTTGTTTCTTTTGGGAACTTAATTAAAAAATTTGGATGAACTACGTCCGAAATTCAGTCATGTTTGGATCATTCGACCGTTTACCAAGTGTGAGTACCTCATTTACATGAAAACAATTGCTTCTTTATAGTCAATTTATTTTGCTAAGCAGACTTTTGTATGCCTTTGTGTAGTTTTCGTGCATTATATTGCAAATTACTAGGCATTAAAAACGCCGAAAACTTAGAAAATTTGCTACACCGAAGATACCGGTAAGTGTATTCTTATTTATTCCTAGCTTGGCTCCTGGAATCTGTGAGGTACCATTTTTCATCCGAAAACGACAATAATTTGCACCACAATGTGATGTTGAAATTTGTAACAGTACACAAATTTTAATAAACATGCTTGAAAACGTTTTAACGGAGATTGCTAAAGACTTAAATTAGTGAAGGAATCAAAGTTGTGGTCTGGTGTTTAGTTACACCTCATTTACTTACATAAAGTGAAGTTTACAATTTTTAAATTCATGACGTTCCGTTCAAATTAAACTATACTTAGATGCTAAAGGTTTACATTAAATTAACAAATTGCAACTGTAATCGCTGTTATTAATCATTCGTTAAATTAATGAAACGTCACTTTATGTAAAGAAGTCTGCTCAAAGTAATTATAAAATTCTAAATTAAAGAAATGTCACTTTATGAAACTGAAAGAACTGTACATTTTTTATTCGTATTAAGATATTATATTAGGTACAACGATACAAACAAAACGGTAGCAGCAGGTGAACGGACCCGCTACAAAATTCAATGCTAATGCCGTAATAACGGGAGTACGATAGAAGCTGAAAGAATCTATAACTGATAAAATAATGACGAATATTCAGTTATACCTACATATTTTTATTCGTGTCATCATTATTGTTAATGAACGAAACATCTGATTCGAATTATTAATTGTTTGATTTTTGCTATTGTAAGTACAACCAACTTACTGAAGATTCACGCTTTGTGCACACCTTTCCATTGTTTTTGTTCAAAAACAGTGTTGCTTAAGAATTAGCAAGTTTGTTAATCAGCGGAATTACGATTTCTCCTTTTACACGTATCTAAGTAGGTATAGCAATGGCGATTTACATCAAGAAAAAACAAAATCAGTTCCGAAAGAAGCGTGATGTAATTACCGAATTCAAAAATGTGTAACAATGATAAGATCTAAATAACCACAAGATTTATCGAGTTTATGTGTTTGAAAAAAAAATCATATTATCTTTGGATAATCGCCGTTTTCGCCTATTGTTATTTAATTTCTGGTGTATTCGTAATGTATGGAATAACCCCACTCCAGTAAATGCACAAGGTATAACAAATGAGCTCGGATAGGTTTTTACGTACGTTTGAAATTTTGGATATTTATAAAATATTTTAACATTTCTAAACATTGCTTCCCACATTAACATAACATATTTACTCGAAAATGCTGGATAATTGTGCAAAAGGTAGTGAAAGTAAAAATATATCTAACTGGCATACAAATGTTAAACCTGAGGGATGCACTCAGCGAGAAAAGAATTCTTTTTTCAGATTCACGCAGAGGAAATAATAGAGCTACATCTTGAAAAGAAGAAGCAGCCAAGTAAGCCATTTAAGAATGGTGATTTCTTTGTTTGATACTCTATAAATAATATCCCAAAATATCGAAAAAATTTAACTTCACTTTCAGCTCCATGAAGAGAGTTAAAAAGATATCAGACCGCAATTCCTATACCGCATTTGAAAAGACGTAAAATACCAATTTTTCCAGATTTATTTTATCGGAATATTTTGTTAAAATGAGTTATATTACATGTTATGGGGAGATATTTGGAAAATTCTTTGAAGGAATAAATCTTCTTCTGATGTCAAGGAAACGGCTATATCGTTGTATACCTTTTTATCTGCAAGATGAAAATATTTTTAGAATCCATACAAAAACAATAATACACATGTTATTTACTATGAAAAACTGACGTTTGCAGGTTTCTATCGAGAACAATTTCTTTTTCTATTCCAGGAAAATTAAAATTTAGACTTGTATCTACATTTTATTTTTATGTTTATATTAGTGAAACGTCAGTTTATAAAAATAAACGAGCTTTACTTACAAAGTTGTAAACTGTGGGATGTTATGGTTGATACTGAAGTATTATTCTCTTCAATATATGCCAGCAACTCTAACAGCTTGTCACTATCTACGAGTTTTGTAGGCCTAACAATATTTAAAATTTCGTGTCTGGTTAAGCGTGAAAATCGAATGCAGTTTATGACCAAATTATTCTCGTCTTTGTGAATATTGCACCAGTGTGACACTATTTTAAAAATTTCAATTTCTGGTAGAGGAAATATATCCCTCTCTAACAGTTTAATCATTGATTTCTACAGTAAATATTAATTTAATTCGTATCTTATCTACTTTTTCTATGAATCAACTTACTTGAGTAAGGGCGTTGAAAAAATTAGGTTCACTCATCAGAATGTCTGAAATATGTTCATCTATAAAAGTATGGCATATTTGTCTAATTTCTTCAAAATCGTAGTTGTTTGCTAGATTTAAAATTAAACAAACATTTTCTGTGGTTAAACTAGATGTTGCTTCCTGGCTCACTGCCGTCACTAATGCTTTTAATGAATAAGCTCGTGCTAGTTTTAGTATTTCAAACAAAAAGTTTAAATCTGAAAAGTTTAAACTAATACATCCTGCAAATTACATACTTATGAGAACGGTCGTTGAAAATCCATAACATCAGTGTTAAACCTGTGTATAAATATTTTATAATCTTCTTGAAGCAGTCAACAGGAACGTTGGTTAACACAATTTCACTCTAAAATAGATAATAGGATGATGTTGTTTTTATCCTGTAAAAGAGTTAAGTAAATATACTTGGTCTGGATTGCTTAGCAGTAGCAATTCAAAAAAAATACATCTGGCAGCCAGAATAAGCTAAAACAGGAACAAAAAATAGTTAGTAGTTGTTTTAGTTTAGTTTAGACTAATAGCGCTAATTTTACCTTGTGGGCTACAATTTTTTCTCCATCTACGTTTAAAATGATGTCGGAAAAGGCCTTATTTAAATAAAATGGAGTCATATCGTCCTTAAATTTCGAAAAATCAATAACAGCAACATTTACATTTTCTTCACTGATTTTGTCCATATCTAAGAAAGTACATAAAATATCAAACAGTTACGGAATTGCTTCTGTGTTTAAATGAAATATGAACAATGAAAGCGAGTGATCCTCGAATAGGTTCTAAAACAGTTACTGACAATTTTGTATCTGTCAAAACCGTCAAAATTCAAAGAAATATAAATTTTTGACTTTGCTGGTGAAAATGAAAACACACTAAAGTGTGTCTAAAAAATGTTCTTTTATTTTCACGAGTGATGATCGAAAGTTTCCAATGTACAAAATGACCAATAATTTCATAATCATGTTTATTAAAAAGTAATAATGGAATAAAGGCTGGGCAGATTGGAAGTAATCCTAACAACCACGAGCGAAGCGGTTAAAAAATAAAATAAGCAGATAGGGCCAATAATTTAAATCATAACAACAAAGCATAAAGGAACAAGTAATCACTGTTAATCATACTAAATTTAGAAATAAATCATATTGTTAAGTTAATGTTGAAAGCGGTTGAAAAAAAAAACAGCATAAAATTGTTAGGAAAATCACATTCAAAAAATTTAATGTAATAATAACGAAATTTATTTTTGTGCACAATTGCACGTCATATTTAATACATTTTACAAAATTCGCCAGTGGAATCACTTTCTAAATTGTCGACAAAACAAATAAGAACAACATTATTTCCTTAAATATATACGTATATGTATATTTAATCTGTTGTCCAAAACATTGCGTTTATAGAGGTGTTAATCCAAAAGTTTATTTATAATGAATCATCGTTATCTATTCACTTCGTCACTTCCTAACTGATAAAGGAAACCATCCATCTGGATATTATCAGAATGTTGGAGTTATCCTACATTATTCAATGCACCCAAGATCATAAATTCCGCCATTAGGAAATCTGGTCTAGAATACTAATCCTCAAACGTCAACACGTGTTATTTTTATTGTATTGTTTTATTCACACGTAACGACTTAAAAATTGAACACTTATTTTTTAAGTCGGCACTTTACATACAGCGAAGAGTTTTCAACACCATCTTATTTTGATTTTGATCGTACTGAAGATGTGTCTATGTTATTTCATAGGAGCTTTCTTTGTATGTGATATGGGGAACATCTGCTTTGCAGTTTAGTGATTCATTTATTAATCATCATGAGAACTCCGGAGGTACACATGTCAGATTAATGTGATCACCTGCATAAAGAGATGCCAACGCGGACAGTTTTCTGACTTGTTCTCAACTTAAAACGTGTCGATCCCGTAACCGTTATATATGATTTGGACTTCAGATATTTAAATTTGCCGCCATACCATCGTAATAACTCATGTATTACCCTCCAGTTACTTTATTTAAGAATTTTCTATTTTTTGTTTTGTATATTTACATTTGTCTAACATTTGATATTATTTTTGAAAGTTGGAAATAGTTGTTGCAGCTGGTTTTACATATTTGCCCTCTCCAGAATGGAGGGATAAACAATTTGCCCGCCGTATTTTACATTTTGAATTAAGGGCGCTTTTCCAACTTTGGGATTCACCACTTCTGCATTTTGAATTTTCGCGGGTTTTAAAATTATGTGCGCATGTTTCAATTTTTGGCGGGATGTTCGGGTTTACAACCTGTTTGACTGTTTTTATTGTTTTAGATAGGAACTCCGAAATTAGTGGCCTGATTACTATTAAATTTCAGGTGTGTCTGTAGAATAATAAGTTATACACATATTTAAGTCCCCCTCAGGTTTATCGATAAAGAAATTAAATTTGACAATTTGTTTTTCTACATATAATGGGTACCTTGGACATTGTAGTAAGAGAATAAGCTTGATTTAATGATTACAGAACACCGTCTAAAATTTATCCATTTATTCTTTCCGGAAATCGATTGCTTCCAAAAAATCAATAAATAAATGGTGTGTGTCTTGATAAAACGTTTCTATTTTTCTTTATATCATCATCGGATAATTCAGAATGTTTGTAATAATTCTTTTCACTGCAACAAGAAAAGAGTAAACAAACGAATCAGTTCTACTTCTTTCCACAGTTTCTTTTATTCTAAGGAGATATACGGTATTCAGCAAGCTTGCTTGGTTTAATCCGGGCTACCTAATTAAATTTCTAGTTCAATGAAAAAACCATCACGAGTCTGTTTTTAGTTTTTATTATTTCATTTTCTAGATACCACTTGTCTTTTGTTACTGCAGTATATTCAGTTATCATGTTTTACGTTACCTCCTAAATATATTACGCTAATAAATATTAACTTGAGATTTAGATTTGGATTTGCATTTTTGATTGATGTGTGGGATTCTTTTTTGAAGATAATTTATTTCAAGTATGACGTTTTTATTACTTAACTGATTACAAAATACGAATCCAAATCCAAAGGCAACTTCAGTCAGACCTTGGGGAAGTAGTAGAGGGAAAATAAAATAAAAGCGTCTTGTAACTGTAGTTAAAATGTATTAATTTATTTTCCATTTATGCTTTTAACAAAAGAAAATATAAATATTGAATACTTACACCTCAGGCTTAACAAAACACCCAATGTTTTCTTAAATAGCATTATATGTATTATGTAGAAATACAAAGATCTTAAATTGTTTAAAGTACAGGCACTTACCGAAACATGTAATAGATTTCATCTGCCAATAACATTTTTTGATACAAAGATATTTGATGCAATAATAATAATTAGTACAACATTGTAAATAGAGTTAAACAGATCATAATATTAACAAATATTTAAGTCAGATCCTTTTTAAGGATTTGAAACAAGTACAAACTTCAAACAAGTATTTACAAATAAATAATAAAAACAAATTCAAACATTTTCCTTTAAAACAATGATTAAATTCAGTTAAAAAAATATATAATAATTGTGTAAATAAAATTAACATAAAAACAAAATGTGTGATTTATAGCTGTATAGCTTAAGAACGTTGTGCTTTATAGGTAGGCTTAACACTAATGTAACACTAAACTACCCGTTTAATTAAAAAAGATGCCTGGTAACCAGAGAGTAGTTTTAAAGCATTCGGATGTTTTTGTCGGTGTATGGATTCGTGATGTAAGACCTGTAAATTAAAAACAAATTAAGAAACTGTTTTACCACTGTTTGTCAGAGCAAAATTCACTTTGTAAACTCGATCCTAATGAACATAGCTGAGCGACCAAATTTTTCGGTAAATAACTGCCAAATCATTTGCTGGTTTTTTACTTTAACCAAGTTAGCGAAAAGTTATATTCATTTGGAATACACATCACTAAGCATTATTATTAGCAGCAATAATCAGTGGAAGATTTGTATATCTTCTGACCATTAATATCCGTATAAGTTTACAGTCGATATTAACATTATTTTAACGTAATTCTCGTAATTATTGTTTTTTGTTTTTAACGAAAAGGCAGATCTACCACTGATTGTAACAATAAATAAAAACATTCTAACAAATCAAAGGTGTATGCACTGCAAGCTTTGCAACTATAGTCGGACACATGCAATTGGTCACAAAATCTTACCAATTATTATTCACTCAGTACAGGAAGCATGGACCCATAGGAAAAAAAGACAGTTTAAATGTTTGTCAAATTTAACATATTAACAAAAAATGCAGTAAATATCATTAAAATCATTTACGGATTTTTTTAAACCATACTTTCACAAGAGAATTAAACATTGTCTCGAATGACCTCAAATTTCGAGCAGAACATTCGAGTGTTTCTAGTATTCAGTCAAATAATCGGTAAGAAGTATTTTCACTTAAAATTTTTCAGGGCCCTAAGTTGACTATGACATTAAGTTGACAACTATTGACACAAATTTCCACATGTGCTATGTGCGTAGCACGTGCACATATAAGATGCCATATTGTGGTATATGAATTTTTTTTTTATACTTAATGCAAAATATTTAATAAAATACTTACAATTCAATGTTGTGAATCGTGGACGTGGGACAGTTGTCATTGACTTTAACGTGACAGTGCTTATGACACTTCAATAAACAGTCACGACATTCATATCCTTGTTTCCCAATTCTCCTAGCTATGCTTTTACCACACACTTGACAAACAGTGCCACTGCAACGAATTAAAAAATGACAACTATGAAAATATTGATAATTTTTTTAAGTACCCAGTCAAGTGCTTAGCAATGAATGTATGATCGTTGAAAATATGGAGTTTTATGCCCTTTTTCCGCCATTTAGATTTCTGTGCTAATGACAGAGGAACCAGATAGTGCTTCTTGATCCCATTTTCGAGAGTTTCAAGCACCAGTGTGCTAGCTTCATTAATGTATGTTCTAGTCGAGGCACTGCTAAGTCCTGAGGCTTCAGAAAGACTGGATCTTCTGGATGTCTCATCCATTGACCTCTGACCCGGCACGTTCAACCGATACCCTGTAAAAAATCGAAACGTAGATATCACGGGCACCCACACGTTTGATCCTACCCTCATCATTTCGGGTTCTATCAGCCGAAACGGATCGGTTCAGAGAATCGTCTCGGGTTGCATCATTCTCAGGTCCCACTGATTTTGAACGAGACTTTCCAAGCTTTCGTTTAATTGTTCCGAAAAAGTCGCGTCTCCTTCGTGGACGTCCACGGTAATCTAAGTCTGAGGGGGCTTGGGATTGAAGGGTTCCGGTGTTTGAGTAATCACCAGGCTGCTGTGAAAAATATATCAATTTTAGGATGAATTGTTTAATTCGCAGGGAGTTTATTCCTTTTGAAGTTAATTGAGGTTAATTACAAAGAAAAGAAGCGGCGGCGGTATACGCTATATCAAGTTATGAAAAAGTCGAACCTTGGATGTGTCAGCCTCTGACGACAGATCTTTGTTATCGGTAGTGCCATTTAATTCGTTGCTTACATTGCCGTTCAAATTTTCAATACTCTCTTCAATCGTTTCTGGTTTCTCTTCTAATTTTTCTTCGTTGATTATTTCATCGTTTACTTTTTCAACTCTTTCAATTTCTTTCCAGGTGCCGTCAGTCAGTGCAACCTTGGTTAGTTAAGTAGATGAAACAAAAATGCACACAAAAACTCATTATTTATTGTTATCAAACATGTGTTAATTATTAAGAAATTGCTAAAACTATAGTTAGCAAACAATTTTTTGTTCGTACACCTACCTTCACGAGCCTTTGGGATGGTTGCTGAAAACACGATAGATTCATGAGTAAATTATTAAATAATGTTAGGAGCAGTACTCACTCGTTGAACACTATGTATAACTAAAGTGTTCTTATTAACACTTGCATTCTGAGCTTGTCTATTTCTATCTAAACTTCTTTCAGCAAAATGGTCGCCATTGGTCAAGTTTTCTGCAAATTAAAATAAACGGATATAGTTTTGCTTTACGAAATTACAGTTGATTCGTGCAGATAATTTATCTCGTTCGCTGAGATTTGTGAACATCTAGTACTTGTATTTATTTTATAACGAAATAATAACACTAGTTAAAAAAATCACAATTTTGAAACAGAATTTACTCAACAAATTTTTGAGGTGACGTCATCAAAATTGTGGTGGGGATGGACAGAGAAATTTTAGTCAACGATCAATAAGACTGATGATAACCACAAAGCATATGTTAAATTTCACAACAATTATTGATTTAATAGTTTTTAGGTCACAACGTAAAATTTTATTGCACAATTTTGTACTTTCCAAAAATCATACACAAGCGGGGTTAAAAATATAAATATAAAAAAAATACTGATAAACCACAATAGTTGACGGGTAAGATTTTGCACACTGGTTTGAATGGTAAAATTTTAAGGCGATATTACTTAAGTTTTTGGATAAATATTGATTAGCAATTTACCATGTCTACACCCTTAATGAGTTTGTAAGATTTTAATTATAATTTAATTTTAATAAAATTTTATGACATGTAAATTGGATTAACTTAGCAAAATTTTGAGATGAGAACATCAAATTGGGGGGGCAGGACCAAACGAATTTTGGTTAGAGTGTAAGCATTTACACGAGAGTCTTAATAAACTGACTGTAAATTCTCTTGAAATTGGTTCAATAATTTCGGAAATTGTGTACCACCAGACAAATATAGGAAACGGGAACCAAGTTTTTCAAACTCTAAAAAACTTAATGAACAATTTTTACGTCGTTGTTTTGTTGATTTTCTGGACCAGTTAAATCCTGATTAAGTCAAATCTTAAGTCCTGTTTATCAAGCTGACAGTAAAATCAGTGCTGTGGTGTCCCAGTTTAAATTAAAATTTCGGTCTGACAGAAAGGAACAAAAAAACAGCAAAAAAATTAACAACATCGTTAGATATAAGCAACCACGTGCAGAGATCTTCAGTTGGGGTGGGAGACCGTCCAGAGAACTAGTAAATGTCGCTTTTTAAGTTGGTAATTGAATAACAATCGAAACAAAAATTAATCTCGTCGACACTACAGTTTTATTGCTATTCGTTTCAAAAACAGATTAGGCATTATAACTTCAAGGGCTTACATTTTGCCCTTTTATCTTAATATGTGTAGTGTAGTCTTCTTTTCGCAACAAAAAAACTAAAACATGTTTTAAATGGTAAATTTTTGTAGAAAAGTATCGATTTTGCAATTAGGCTCCACCCCGTCGGTCTGACAACGAATAAAAAAAATCATCAGAATTGAGATAGGGCGGGTGGGCGGGACTTATATTTTGCCTTTCTTTTTCTTAATATACATAGCCATCTTTTCATAACAAGAAACTTAAAACATGGTTAAAATGGTACATGTTTGCAAAGAAATATGGAGTTTGCAATTATGGCCTGGAACTTTATTGCAAAATCGATCTTTCCTTTACAAATTGTCCATTTTAAACATATTTAAATTTCATGTTATGAAAAGAAGTCTACACATATGTATTAAAACAAAAAGGCAAAATTTATATATTTATATTATATGTGATGTGGGGGTTACCTGGGAAAAGTTACTTACATAAAAACCTTCCCTTAACCGTGTTCTGTGATTTGGACTCCTGATATAGACTTTGGTACTGTTTATATTTAAATGTGTCGCCATACTGGAGTAATAACTTGAGTTTTTGCATCGAGTTACTTTAATTTTGACGTCTACTATTTAGAAATACCAAATTAAAGAAGGAGAAAATCGTGCAATTTCTGATTTTCGTTTTAAAGTAATATTTTTTTAGTCATACGCTCATAAGACATCGCAGAATGTCACGTGGCTACTTACATAACGTTACATAGTTATTTATGATTACCGACGACCTTTTATCAATTAAACAAATGTTGTTTATGTATTATGTGTGTATTTCAATACAGATAATACATACAAACTATAAAAACTCGTCAAGATAGTAAAAATCTAATTTACAGTATGTTTTTGTCGTGGTTTTTAGTCAAGAGGTATTTGTATCGAAAAAAGACTAAAAATCTGTGAATATTTAAGTACAGGAAGACAGGAAATTTTTCCGCAAAAAAATATAGTGCACACAGTTCTTCTATAGCTTTATCCGTCGAACAGACCTTTTTGAGAAAATAATTGTATTGGGAATTTAATATAGTACATACATAAAAAATGATTTATTAATTATTGAATTTAAACAGCCCAGGAATTTCGGGAATTTTCATAACACGAATTACATTTGGTTCATTTAATTTAAGCTACTCCCTTATTTAGTGTATCACGAATATTTTAAAAGGTCTTCCAGTTTGTCGGAGGTCATTAGACCGTATTTATTTTTATTGCTCCAATTTTGAACTGAGTTACAATGCAGTACATTTTTTACTCAAAAGTCTCAGACTTGAAAGTCATTTATGTCAGTTGAGTAAGTAAACATTTCTTTATGTCGTGGACGAAATTACACAACTTTTTAAATATATATCGAATAAGTGTGAATAACTCACCATTTTGGAACGTTGGGCTAGAATTTAGTCTAAGACTATTAGTAGGAGTTATCGGTTTAATGGTTTCTTTAATCTTATACGGTTGACTGCTACCAATGTTTGGAATATCAGCTCCTTCGATAAACAAAAACTACAACAATGTAGTACAATTACTGATGAGTCATCTTCAAGAATAGGTATTATACCTCAATGGTAAGAGTCCCTGAAACGGGATCACTTTCGTACGGTCTACTCTGAAGCGAAATAATCTGCCTCTGCGATGGATTCACGATTAGTTCGTCCACTCCCACGATAGCCAAACCAAGAAATTTAGGCGGCTTGGTTGCATGATCGTAAACTTCGAACAAAACTTCAGCGGTATTGGGAGATAAGTCACTGGAAGAGACGCTTTCATTCTACAAAGTTGATCAGCGGTGACACTTACAATAAGAAGTGTTCGTCCCAGAAGGGAGAGTCGGTATTCTTCTGCACGGAAGTTTGGTTTTTCTGGGGTGGTTCATCCAGTTCTACGACGCAGTAGGGTTGAGCACAGCCTTGCTTTGCCCCCAGTTGTGCTGCACGGACGACCTTCACTAGTAGCCGTTTTTCTCCTGGAACTTGGCCGAGATGTGACGACATGTGATTTGGGGTTGAAGTGTAGGCGTTCGACTGGAAAGAAGGAATTACATTTAAAGTCAAACTGATAGACACAGTCGATTATTCAAGCGCATTCGCTAAATTAATCTTGAATCTGCTATACGGGGTGTTTTATATAGACTGATAAATTATATTGAAGAAAAAACAACTTTCTTTGTTGGGTTACACTTGCTTGTTTTACTCTGCGTTTTAATCAAAGCGACAATTAAAATAAGCCTGGAGAAGGACAAACCGATAAGTTATTGCGCTTTTTCTGATTACGTGTTTGTTAACAGTTTCATTAATCACAGTTTTGTCAGATCTATATCGAAACGTGTCAAAAAAAACGCTATAATAAGGTTAACTAAATGTATTGTTATTGAATTATGACTGAGTCCGATAGACATGCTAGAGCTCTAGGCGCTGCCGAGAGGGCAATAAAAACACGATCATAGACAGCCATAGAATTTTGAAGATTTGTCTTTTAAAAATCCATGACTGTTTTTGATTGTGTCTTTTACTGCCCTCTCGGCATTATATCTCAAGATCTGCGAACGCTTTCGTGAGGTTTGTGGCTTTACACGATTAATTGGAGGAAGTTTGAGGTGGATCTGTAAGTACTTACAAGAACAGCCAAGACCAATTGGCTTATATTTTTATATGCAAGACAATAACATTTTTCTTTTCATAGATAAGTTCAGAATTAGAAATAAACTTCTAAGGCATAGCTATGATATTGATATTGGTTTAATCATAGTCTGTAAAAGCATTATAATAAGTAGAAGCTTGCGATGAGGATGCAGTTACTGCTGACAGGTACAGTGTCGATCTTTTGGCACCACATATAGTGGTGGAAATACCCCAGGTAAAACTTTTATCTTTCTATCTTATGCACTTTGTGCGAGACAAAAAATTACCAAACTTTGAGTTTGTCGTAGAAATTTTGTCAAATTTTGAAATTTGTCATCAGAATTATTTGTCACACTACTCTACTTAATTCTGAACAATGAAAAAAAAATTTTGTGTTGATGTGATATATCAGTTTGGATTGATGCATTGTAATACTAATAATAAAATTATTGTATTAACATGTTTTCTACGAATTGCAACAACCGGATTACAATGCCGACGGTCCAGACTTTTTTATTGCTCTGGCTTCCGCTAATTGAATAAAACATTACATTCTATTTTGATTTTCGATGTTGTAATTCGCATTTGGTTAATTATAACTTGTCTAGATCTAGGGGAGGCTCAGCATCCCCTAGCCTCACCCTAGCTGCGGCCTTGTCTAGGGGTTAAAAAATATCGAAAAAATATTAAAGTACCAAATTGCCCGATGGACTCCATTACTGTACGTCCTTAGGGTATCCTCGATAAAAAAAACAACTTGACAGTGTTTATGTTTATACATCGGAAGAATGTCCCGTAGAAATTAGTTTTATTTAAATGAGTTCGTCCACTCAAAACAGAGGACAAAACTATTAAGTAGTACGCTACAATCGACAAAATGTTCTGAATATCATTATTATAATTCTTATTATATGTATAAAGACGTTTGCATTTTCACATTTTCGGGAAAATGAAGTGACTCGTTCTTAATATGATCAATAAAAAATATGAATGCAATGATAAATCACAAGTAAAAAACATAATTCACACATTTTGGGTAGAATTTATTCGGCAAAATTTTGAGATAACGTCATCAATTTTTTGGGGGGAATAAACAGATATATTTTGATTAACAATTTACCACGCTTACAATGACTTTACAACGTCTGCAAGAGTTGAAAGCATTCAGTTGTGCAATTCTTGATTTATTCAATAAAATAAATTGATTGATTTATTAATGTTTTTGAGTCACCCTGTATAAACAAATCTAAAAAATTTGAATGCAACGATAAATTACACGTATAGACAGATCATATTTTTTGAGATAACGTCATCAATTTTTTGGGGTTGACAAACAGATACATTTTGATTAAAAAGTTACCATGCTTACAAAAACTTCAAAACGTATGCAAGATTTTAAAGCATTCAGTTTTGCAATTCTTGATTTAAACAATAAAATAAAATGACTCATCAGTCATTAATTCTTTTGAGACACCCTGTATAAGCAAATCTAAAAAATATTAATGGAGTGATAAATCACAAGTATCGACTCATCATACTTTGCAAATTTAAGATTGTTAAGCAAAATTTTGAGGTGGCGTCATCAATTTCTTAGGGGGATAAGCAAATACATTTTGATCAAAAATTTACCATGCTTATGATAGCTTTAAAACATCTACAAGATTTCAAAGCATTCGGGTTTTCAGTTCTTAATTAAATTAATAAAATAAATTCATGCATTCATTAATTTTTTTTTTCACCCTATATAAACAAATCCAAAAGATATTTAAACGGAATGATAAATCACAAGTACAGTCTCATCATATTTTCTTCATTTTAGATAGGATTTATTCGGCAAAATTTTTTGGAGGGGAATAAATATATTTTGATTAAAAATTTATAATACCTACCTATCATAACCTTAAAACATCTGCAAGAATTTAAAGCATTCGGTTTTGCAGAATCAAAATTAAATTGCAAAATGTTATTTTATAATTTAGATTTTTTCCAAAAAACTGGACATTTCGAAGAAACTCAACACGGAGTCATAGACTACATGTATGGAACTATGTTATTTTATACAATTTAAAACCCATTTACTATGTACAATTTTGAAGTGATCTCACCACATTATTGGTGGGGATGATTAGACAAATTTTAGTTATCGTTTCAGTATCTACATGACATACTTAATATAAATACAAAATTTGACAACAATCGGCCTAGTACTTTCGAAAATTATCTGTCTAATAAAAATCCGGGATGGCAGACAGACGGACAGATGGACGGAAACGGGGGTTCTATTTTTTTGTACTCTAGGGGTCATGAAAGGTCGAGAAAACGTAAAAGTAGAGAGCCGGCCGACGGACTCGATCACAATGCTTCCTTCGCTTACGCTCAGGAAGTAAAAACAAGTTAAAATTCGGTGAAAAATATAATGCGGTTATGGTTTAACTGCTAGGTACACAACTTGCGGTAATTTTTGGGAGTTCGTCACAATGGGCTATAGGAAATCCGTTTGCCTGGGAAGACCGTCTCCTATTGTAAGAGTAATAAAAAAAAAATATTTCAATAAGATACGTGGCCTCTCTAACTGTCTGTGCTGGTATTTTTTGCATTTTATGAGGCATCCTTTGCAAAATGATTATGAAGTAAAAATCTTAACCTTACTATACATATCTTTAGTCTACCTTTATAGAAGTTACAGAACTGAATTAGATTCGTTAGACCAACAGAAAAACTTTGGGACTATTCAATCTATCTAAACAAGGAATTGTACAAAAGAAATATATTTGAATCAGGCCTTGGAACTATTATTTGCCGTTTATTATTAATTACTTCCGGAGACTAAGTAGACAACCGAATATACTTTATCATGGATGCTTTCATCAATATTATCTTAAATGCAGTCAGGTTGACAGATACTTAATTAACATTTGACTTGACAGTATTTCCCAGACTTACGTACCATCTTTTTGTGGTTTATTACTATTTCGTCTTTTGCTTTGCTTGCGTGATAGAAATCAGTTCTTTTCAGAACTAAGAGTGTGAGCTTTGCTGCTTACGAGCCAAGAATGGCTTTTTTTGAACAACACAAATTATTCATGGTAATGCATGTCTTATTGTTGGAACGGTATAAAAATAGATGGAACTTTTCAATATTCAATTAGATTATGTATGGAACAGTTTCGAGAAGAATTCCCTGATTTTGCTGTAGGATATACGCAGTTTCGACAAACTTTAAATGTAGGCTTAAAAAAATTCCAAGAAAATTGATCTATGGCACAAAAATCTGGAAACGGTCGTCCAAAGAAGCGAACTCCAGAACTTACTGAAGAAGTGAGAGAAGTAATAGGAGAAACCCTGGGTGTTTCTATTCATCATTTATCACAACAACTTGATTTGTCTGTTGTAGGTACCTGTAATACGATTCTAAGATCTTCATTTCCCTTCATTTTCTTATTGTCTAGCTCTGTCTATGAATTACGTTCAACTAATTTTCCCGAAAGAATTCAATACTGCCAATGGTTTCTAAATACTCTAGATCGGGATGACCCATCTCAAAAAAACGTTTTTTTAGTGATGAAGCATAATTTCACCTTAGTGGCTAATGTAAACTTACAAAACAAGAATTTGGACTTTTGAAAATCCACACTTTTTCTTTGAGTCGCCTCATTATTCCCAGAAAGTCGGCGTATGGGCTGCGATTAGCCAACGCAGAATTATTGGTCCGGTTTTTTTAATGGTAAAGAGTTTCTTAGTGTTTTAACAATAAGATATTTCAGGAGACAAATGCTGCAAGAGACCGAGACGAAATTTTAACTCCATTTTCAAATCAAATGGATGATAATGATTTAGTTATGGTTACTTTTAACAAGATAGTGCTACTGCTCGTACAACTGGACGTACAAAGATTTTTTGGTTTAATTTTATGTGATCTGCTCCTTCCGACTTCTTCTTGTGGTCACATATAACGAATTCAATATACGCAACACATTTTAATGACTTGGAAGAATTGGTGAATAGGATGATACACAAAATTAATAAAATTAATAACCATGCAGGTGTTTTAGAAAATGTGGCCAATGTAGTAATTCGAAGGGCAGTCTACAGAATGTTCGAGGGAAATATGTAGAACATATTCTTAAGTATTTGTCTGAGGGGATTCTTGTACCTAATGAATTGATGTTTCTAATAACCATTACGTTGTCACTTGCTTTTTTAAAAATACATGAATTTTGAGGTAGTGCTAGTTATCAAAATGAACTCTTTTTTCATGAACACGTGTTATTTTAAACTGTGCCGCAACGCTGCGCTGGACCTGCAGTCACATGTATCGATTTGAGTAGAGGTTTCCGTTTCGCATAAGACTGTTCTTGATTTAAAAGATTTAAAATATAGAAACATTATTTTGGCTAATGATT